CAGGTAGGTCAAGAGCACGAGGCCGTCTTCAACAGGTCCTTGGTGCAGCATTTCGGAGTGCGCCCCATCAAAACAGAGTTTGCATCGAAGTGTTCTCAGGATGTGGTGAGTTGAGCAAACACTTGAGGCGGAGAGGTGAGGCCGTTGTTGAGTGGGATGTTAGGCATGGTGACCATTTCGATTTAACGCGCGTTCAAGTCTGGAGGGCTCCTAGAGGCTGGATCACTTCTGGGCTGGTGTAACTTGTTTTTCGGGGCGCCCTGCAGCGGGTACTCCAGGGCCCGTCGGGCCCCGCCTTCCAGCAACATGCCATCGGCTCTCAGAAGCCCCGCGCATACTCTTGGGCTCCCGGGGCTTTCGGGCAAGGACTTTGAGAACTTTGGAGTCTCCAGTCGTCTAGGCTGGATCTCTCAGCGTGTGCAGCGTTTGTGTTATAACCTTAACATCCCTGGGGCGAAGAGAACCCTTGGCACAGCTTCCTGTGGCTTCGCCCTGACCGTCGCGCGTTTGCCTAGCCTCCGCAGGTTGCGAGAGAGTTGTGGATTACTGTACTTGTGGTCGTCCATTTCGTGCTCGCACTCGCATTCGTTTTTGGAAGTGCAGCCCGCGCCCTGGTTTAGACAACCTAGTTTGCAAAAGTCGGGGTGTCTGTTCGTTCTCGGGCAAGCCTCATCTGGAGCTCACGGGTCTTTCTGGGAGCGGATTCAGCACGCGCTTGAAAAACGCTTACACGCCCGAACTGTGTGCTTTACTCGCCGGGCCCTGCATTTGTTTTGCATTTGCATTTGTCTCGCGTCCACTAACATATGGGAACTCCTGCGGGGTTAACCCCAGCACAATGCTTGAGGGATGGATTCAGCTAATTTGAAGTTTGGCAATGTTGTATCGCACTGGCCGCTGAGCTCGCCCGTGCTGCGTCCGAATCCTCAAGCAGCCTTGGCCCAGTGGCAAAATAGTTGATCATGGGAGTGATCCACGAGAATGATTGTAAATGCCTGCCGCCTTGTATGCTCAAGGCATTTCTTTCGGCCCACGCCAGCCCAATGCCTCGTTAACGCTCTGTGCACTTGAGCAGTTTTGTATCACACTGGCCGCTGAGTTCGCCCGTGCTGCGTTCGAACCCTCAAGCAGTCTTGGCCCACTGGCAAAATAGTTGATCAAATTGATTCCGCCGTGCAGCTTGCACGACACAGCTTGCACCAGATAGCTTTCAGCTGATAGCTTCCACACCCACTCACCACACCATATATGATGCACGGCATGGCTCACACCATGCGGCTACACTACAGTTTAAGCCACAGTTACATTACCCCACCGCTTGGGTCCCACACTATCTAAGATGTTGAAACTTGCTACGAAACGACATGTGTGAACTATATGGGTGGATAGGGGGGCCTTTTCAAAGCGGGACTCGCCGGAGCGTCCGCCCTGAAAGTTGGAGCCACACGCAGGGGTGGAGGGCGGCTTCTCTTCCAACCGGGGGCCCCAGCCTGCGGCTTCCAGCGCCTGAAACGGTGTCTGCACTCAGGGGGCTCTTGAACACGTTGCCGCCTCGTGGGCGCTCGTGGTCGCCCCCCGCGCGCCGGGCAAGTCCGCCGAGGCCTCGCCACGTTGCGTTCGTCTGGGCGTTCGTGGGCGCCCCGTGCGCGGAGCTGACGCCGCCCAGCTTGCAACACGATAGCGTACAACACATAGCTTGCACCACGTCGCATGCACCACATGCTATACGGCCACCCTTCGGACGGCAAGGAGGTTGGGGGTTGGGGGAGGAAGAACCAGCTGCTGGCAAACACGATCGGTTTGATAATGCCGATGCTGGTGACGCGCCCTCGGGTTAGCGACGACGCGTCATGACGATGCTGCGCAGCGATGTGCTGTCACTACGGTCCCCGCATTCGATCACACTCGGTCGATCTCATCATAGATCTCTCTAACGATATCACGTTTGCTCCCACTATTGATCTCACTATCGATCTCTCCGTCGATTTCTCGATCGATCCCACTATCGATCGATGTATCGATCTCACAACCAATGCCACAGTCAACCTCACTGTCGATCTCGCTCTGGTCTCACTATCCGTCCCACATTCGCGATCTCATTATCGATCTCACGATCGACTTCACTATCGATGCCAGGGCGAGACACCCCCGAACCCCCGGCCACCGCCTGCCCACCGCTGACGGAACGCCGATGGCCACGGCGGGACACCCGGGGCCACCGCGCGCCCATTGGGGGCGGAGGGCGGTCCCTGCATCCGACTCGCCCTAGCGACGGCCGTTGTCACTCTTTTCGCGCGTCGATGCAGCTTCGCCTCGCCCGCACGCACGACACGAACACGAGACCGAAGCCGATTTCCCGGGAGGGGGGGTGGGCTCTCCGTTCCTTTGCGATCTTGGCCCCCAACTTCCAATACTACATCGCAGAGCGTGCACCGCATAGCCTCCCAGCTCACGCCACAGTTCCTACACGAGATAGCCCACCACACCGGTGGACGGCGCTTGCCTGTCCACACGAAGGTCTCGTGTAGTATCTCCTCGAAGCATGTAAGAGGCACGCGCGTCACCTGGCTCGGCAGCTGCACGCTATGGGGGTGGGCTTTTTTTCAAACGGAAACTTCGCCGGACAGCTGGCTGTAATGTACGAAAACATATCATGGGGACGATGCTTCGAGAATTGTTTGATTTTTTTGAATGCGTTTGATTTTTGTTTTCAATCTTCGCTCCCAAATGATTCGTTGCTGCAGTCTTTGCCATTCGCTTGGGGGACGCAAGATTCTCTGAGGCTCTCGCCTGACTGGCACGCCCATCGGGCGCTGGCCTTCCACAGGGGGGCGCGAGCTGCTGTGGGAAAGATGGCCCCCAGGGACTTCCGAAGAGGACTCGGCCCTGGAGGGTGGATTGCAGCACCTTCGGTGCATCTTGTTTTTGGCCCTGGCCCTCTTCATCCTCTGATGCTTCCTCCTTCATCCTCGTCCTCCTCCTCCTTTCTCATTCTCGTGTGGTCCGTTCCCCTCTTTTCCGTCCTTCACTTCCCTCCCCTTTCTTGCCCCCCCTCCTCCTCCCCCGACTCCTCCAACGACGGCCCCTCACCTTCCCCTTTCATTCCCCTCCTTCCCTTCCTTTCCTCCCTCCTTCCCCGCCCGCCACGACGACCTTCCTTCCCCTTCCCCCTTCCCTATCCTCCCTTGTGGAATCCAAGAGATACCAATACGGTTACTCCCTGGACCTTTCCTGGGGTGCGTTCTGACCAGAATGTGGATGCGATTCCAGCCGTGGCGGCGAGGTCCTCCCAGTAGGCCCCCACAAGGCAATCACGAGGGAAGGACAGCGGTATCGGTGCCCGTGTCTCTCACCCTTCCCTTCCCTTCCCTTCCCTTCCCTTCTCTGGTTCACCCCGACAAAGACGACGAGCTTCCTCCACTCCAGCCTGCATCCACCCCCAATCGCTCATCGCTGATCGGGGTTCGATCCTCAGCCTATCCCGCCCAGGATATCCTGCGGACTCGCTGTCGGGGGCCCATCGCCGATAGCTTTGCGATGTATCGCCGGTTGCAGATTGATGTCCCCCCTGAGCCAGCTCCCCCCGCTCGGTCCTCCACATCCTATGAGAAGGGCACGCCATAAGCGTAAACGTTTGGCGCTCCGCGCGGATTTCTCTTCCTCCTCCTCCTCCTCCTCCTCCTCCTCTTCCCTCCCACTCCTCCCTCCTCCTCTTCCTCCTCCTCCTCCTCCTTCTCCCTCCTCCTCCTCCTCCTCCTCCTCCTCCTCCTCCTCCTCCTCCTCCGCGCTGGGCCTCCGTCCAGCGGCGCCTCGGGCGCCTCCCCTGGAGCGCTCCGCGCGCAAGGGAGGGGGGCTCAGCGCAGATGCAGGGATTCCGCGCGGAGCGCCGCAAGTTTCTGCTCGTGGCGCTGGATCTTCTTCCACACCTGTCCCCCCACCTGTCGACGATGAGCTCTCTCCCTCCCTGAGCCAGCCCCTTCGGATCGTTTCTCCTCCTCCTCCTCCCCCTCCTCCTCCTCCTCCTCCTCCTCCTCCTC